CGACGAACTCCATTTTTTTTGTTCTTTTCTCATATGTTTTTAAAATTTTTTATCTATACAGTGATCCGTTTCTTTAGAAAAGTAATTATATATTCTGAGAGCTCTTGAAATGCTCTATCGCCCTGTGTATTTAGGTCTTGACCAGAACTTGTTTGCTGAGAAATATTTCGAATACTGTCAATGCGAGTGAGGATGTCTTCACTGTATTCAAAATATTTTTCAGCAATTAAATGTAAGTTAAGACTTAAATACATAAGGTGATAGAGAATTCCGAGCGCTATCAGAATATATAATTACTCTCCTTAAAATATAGTTTTATATTAGCGATCTTATTCTACTGATCGAAACTCTCAGAACTTATGTGCCAATGTATTAGAATATAATTATAGTCATTAATATAAACTTTGTCATTCATCTAGTGAGTCAAAGTTTTTTGCAAACAAACAGATGAATCATAACTATCTACGTAATTATTACATGTAATATTTTCGAAGTACGCAATAGAACTTGACATATAGTTTTGCGTTTATACTAATGCAAACAATTTACCTTCCACGCAATAGTTATTCGTTGTTCTTTTTGTTTTCGTCAAAATAGAAACAGCAAAAGCATAAATGCATTGGTTTATGTTTATTTTGATTGTCAAGCGTTGTCAAACACGAATTTCATGAAAAAATTTTAAACCACTTTAATTCATAATTCTTAAATAAATAAAAAATTTTCGTATTTGAAAAATGCATTACTTTATTTTTCGTTAACATAGAAGATAGAGTGTAACCAATCGAAAAGAATCATTTAAATGACACATCCAATTCTGATAGTATCTTTGAAAATGATTAGTCATAACTCAGAAATGAAACATCATATGTAATATTCATGCTCCTAGGAATATTTGATCCTCGATTTAGAAAATAAAGAGCGGCGCATATTACTATTTTCAAAATAGAATCATACTGCAGACGTTTCTTTTCAGAGTAGTACATACTATGATTTTAATGTATAAAATACATCGAAAAATCTGATGTAAATAATTATACAGAAAGTATGAAAATAAATTTCAGCAAGTTATGCAATGCATTATCGTAGAAATTCATACTTTATTGATGAAAAAAGTTGATAGAATTCATATTGCAATATTTCCGAAGCAAACAAATAAATAAAATTATTATTAAATAATAATCGAAAATCATGCATGAATCTGGTTGAACATTTATAAATGACTTGAACAATCACGATCCATCCGCCGAATAAGAGTTAATGTGATTTATAGTTTCAGTTCGTTGAGATGATTTAATGAAAACCCATAAAAGCTCGAAATATTTTAATCAAGGAACGATAAATTATGAATAAGACTTTTTTTATGTTTACGAACATCAATATCTTAAGCTAGTTAGCAGGAGTTGAATCAGATAGCATGCAAATCCAAAATATTGGAACTATTTATGTTTGTCTCTAATAGATCATAGGTATATATATATATATATATTACAAATCAGAATCATGCGAGTGAAGTTTGTATACAGATTTTGTAAATACAGTAAAACCTCTACTAATGAACACGTCCTGATTATGAATGGTCTCTGGTTCGATGGGGCGATTTTTTCTGGTAATGTCTCTGTCTAATGTGAACATCTCCTTAGTCTGAACAGTATATGTTTTTTTTGCAGTCCCCTTTGCTAATATAATCTCTCCAATGTGAACATGTTATTTTGATCTCTTGCTCTTTTCTGTCACCTACTTATTATACACTACGAGTAAGAATATTTTGTGTACGATTTGACTGCTGTAAGTATGAAGTAAAGAATGATATCGCGATAGAAGCTTACTTTGCAAGAAAAAATACTATTAATTCATGATAATAAAGAAATGATAATGGTTTATCACAACGTAAATTCACTGACAAATCTAATGTATCATTCGGCTCAATATCAAATATTTTAAAAAGTAAAACAAAATATTTAAATGATTATGAAACAAATCAAAATCAAGTGCGTGAGTGTGAGTGGTGATCAGTGTGACTGTGTGCGTCGATTCTATTTGAATTCACTCAAATCCACACCTACATCCACTACGCACCCATACCCACACCCTTTGAGCTGATATTTTTGCGACGATTAGTGCTTATCAAGTTCTATGTATGATTATAATTTCAAAGCAAGACGTTTCTATTTCAATATGAATTTGTCTTCATACAAGACAATTTTTATTTATCAGATTTTGAAACAACAAAGCATATTTAATAACATGAATACTTTTTTTGTTGTTGAAATTTATCGATTTAAATATCATTAGATAGTCATCATTATTATTGAATAATAGAAAAACAAAAATGTCTTTCTTCTACGATCAACCATAAATAAATTATATATATATATATATATATATTGTATATATTCATTAGGTTTTCTTCAATATTCATCTATTTCTAATCAATGAATAAAATTCTCAAAAACTTTTCATATCTACTATATACATAACTGTTGTTTATTATCATCTACTGCTATCATCATTCATCTCATCAACTGTACATCATTACAATCAACGATAAGAGAAAGTAAAAATCTTAAAAAGAACTATTCATTTCATTATTCGTTCGTTTAAAATAAAAAGAATGTCTCGAAAAGAAATGTTTTATTTGTTTTTTTTTGAAACTTTATCGATCGATTTCAAACACATGGCCTTGTCTCTAGTTGCCGCCTATCTATACATACTCACTACTATTACGTTGAAAAAAAGACTTGGCAACAGTGATAACAACATTTATTCAATTAAGATGTTTTTTTCGATTCTTCGTCTTGCTTCGATGACGATGTAATTGTGGTTTCGCAAGCACTCTTGAAATGAACAACGAGAAATCTTTCAATAGCAAGCAAAACATACTCCCCTAATAACCAACCAAAAAGTCAAAATGATGTTAACCAAAAGAATAGGGTTACAATACAAATGAAGATTTGTTTTTCTCAAAAGATAGAGCCTTCATTTCTTTATTATTTCAACTCATTCCCAATCTTTTGTATAAAACTGCTTGTGTCTATCAACGTTTTTAATCTCGCGGAGCAAAAAATCTATAAGTGTCTCTCAACCCAAAGATCATCGACAGTTATCGAGAAAAGTTTGATGTTGCAGCAGATCATTTACAATCTCTGAACATTCAAAGTATCCTCTACAAAAGGATAAAAAATGAAAACTAAAAGCAAGGATCAAAAGTTGGCAAAAATCCAATCATTAGTCGATAGGTTGCTCAAAAAATCAGAATTTTGATCATTGTACCATCTACAGCTTGAGAACTACCTATGATAAAAGAGTGATTTTTTTTTGCCTGGTAGTAAGGATTAAGTAGTAGATCGAAACAAAAAAAATTATTTAAATCGGTCATCATGAACCAGAGTTATTGAGGATATACACCATAGATTGAAACGGTACCAATTTATGGCAAATCACCCACATGCATGCATGTAGAACGAAATAATAAAAATAGAGAACGCAATTATTGAATCGTTCGTTCGTTTCATTGGAAGAGAAAATTGCATTTTATATTTGTACAAGACATTTCATTTGCTTA